CTTCAGTATCATAAGTTTTGTTGTTGTTTTTTTTAAAAACCTAACTAATAAGTCACTGAAAAGTATTTTATATGTTGTTCAGTTTAATGCTGCCCACACCTGTCAAAATGCAGTTGTGACTGCAGTTGTGCTCTGGGGGGTGGGGACAGCCCTGGACTGCCGCTGCTCATGGGGTGGAAGGCAGCCTGGGACTGCTGGTGTGGGGTGGGGCACAGTGATGCTGTTGATCTTACGGCTGCCCGAGCTGCTCCGGCAGCCCTGGGGTCAGTCACACCTGCAAGCTGCAGAAGTCGCGGAGGTCCCAGAAAAATCACGGAATCCACGCCTTCCATGACCTCTGTGACAGACTCACAGCCTTAATGATTACCTATTCTTTTCATTCCCTCTAGGGCACCCGGCATTTGTCACTGTCAGAAGACAGGATACTAGGCAAAATGGACCTTTGGTCTGACCCCGTGTGGCCATTCTTATGATAACATGTAACTATCAGTGTAGGAGTTTTCAGCAAAAGCTACACATCTGGGCAGCTAGCTAAAGAAGGGTCGTAGTGTTTTCTGCCTTAGGAGTTGGGGCTTTTAGCATGTAAGCAGGACAGGTACATCTTCTTTCCACACCTTAAAGAGGAGAAACTTAATATGGGATAGGAGCTTAAAATCATAATGCTCCACTGTATCCAACAAAAGTTCAGATTAGTACAGGTAGCATTCAAATTTCAAGTGGCAGTAGGCTTCCTAGTGAAAAGAAATTGGGAGCCAGGGAAAGGGTGATTGTCATTTAGAGCTACATACCAACTTTACACTGGTTTAGGTGAATGTAAGCTTCCATGTCTGGAAGGCATGATTCACAATCATAATGGATAAAATTCTTAGGCAGTGCTACATAATCTAGTAGCATGTTCCACAGAAGAATAATTAGGGCTCTATTATTAAAGATGCTGCCCCCATAAATTTGTCTTTTCACAGAAAATATGGGCACTACAAAAAATTAATCATCAAGAATGCCTTTCAGTAGGAAACCATTGCTATTAAGGGACTTTTACAAGTCTTCAACCAGAAGGAAGCTTCAATGTAGGACATCCTTTGCCAGCAGTTTATTACAAAAATCTTTAAAAAAAAAATAGAAGACTAAAGGTAATATAAGAAACCACTGACAATTCCCAACTGGGTGAAATTTAACACACAGAGTGCCTAAGAAAACTATGATAATCTAATTCAACTAGTTCTGTGGACTTAAGTGAGTTGGAATACTGCTTATGGAAGATTCCCACTGTGACCAAGTCTCACCGAGAGCTGTTTAAAAAAACCCCACATGCACATACTAGAACAGCAAGGAAGGGAGGAAAGATTAAGATTGTGTAATGGAGGAGATCCACACTAACAACTTTCAGTTGCACTTTAGTAATACATGAGATAAGAGTATAAGAAGGGCATGCAAAGTACATGTGGTGAAAGATGAGCTGAATCAGTTGTGCCAAATCATTTGACAATACATTCAAGCAGGTATCTGCTGGTAAGGCATTCCTATCTAACAGTAGCTTCTTTAGATAGCAGCAGTGAAACACTCCAGAGTTAAAAGAAAAGGAGTACTTGTGGCACCTTAGAGACTAACCAATTTATTTGAGCATGAGCTTTCGTGAGCTACAGCTCACTTCATCGGATGCATACCGTGGAAACTGCAGCAGACTTTATATATACACAGAGAATATGAAACAATACCTCCTCCCACCCCACTGTCCTGCTGGTAATAGCTTATCTAAAGTGATCATCAGGTTGGGCCATTTCCAGCACAAATCCAGGTTTTCTCACCCTCCACCCCCCCCACACAAATTCACTCTCCTGCTGGTGATAGCCCATCCAAAGTGACCACTCTCCAAGTTTAAATCCAAGTTAAACCAGAACATCGGGGGGGGGGTAGGAAAAAACAAGAGGAAACAGGCTACCTTGCATAATGACTTAGCCACTCCCAGTCTCTATTTAAGCCTAAATTAATAGTATCCAATTTGCAAACGAATTCCAATTCAGCAGTTTCTCGCTGGAGTCTGGATTTGAAGTTTTTTTGTTGTAAGATAGCGACCTTCATGTCTGTAATTGCGTGACCAGAGAGATTGAAGTGTTCTCCGACTGGTTTATGAACGTTATAATTCTTGACATCTTCTATCAAGCATTCTTACAACTACAATACCCACCTGCGGAAGTGAAGAAACAGATTGATAGAGCCAGAAGTCACCTACTACAGGACAGGCCTAACAAAGAAAATAACAGAACGCCACTAGCCGTCACCTTCAGCCCCCAACTAAAACCCCTCCAATGCATTATTAAGGATCTACAACCTATCCTAAAGGATGACCCAACACTCTCACAAATCTTGGGAGACAGGCCAGTCCTTGCCTACAGACAGCAACCTGAAGCAAATACTCACCAACAACCACATACCACACAACAGAACCACTAACCCAGGAACTTATCCTTGCAACAAAGCCCGTTGCCAATTGTGCCCACATATCTATTCAGGGGACACCATCACAGGGCCTAATAACATCAGCCACACTATCAGAGGCTCGTTCACCTGCACATCCACCAATGTGATATATGCCATCATGTGCCAGCAATGCCCCTCTGCCATGTACATTGGTCACACTGGACAGTCTCTACGTAAAAGAATAAATGGACACAAATCAGATGTCAAGAATTATAACATTCATAAACCAGTCGGAGAACACTTCAATCTCTCTAGTCACGCAATCACAGACATGAAGGTCGCTATCTTACAACAAAAAAACTTCAAATCCAGACTCCAGCGAGAAACTGCTGAATTGGAATTCATTTGCAAATTGGATACTATTAATTTAGGCTTAAATAGAGACTGGGAGTGGCTAAGTCATTATGCAAGGTAGCCTGTTTCCTCTTGTTTTTTCCTACCCCCCCCTCCCCCCCAGATGTTCTGGTTTAACTTGGATTTAAACTTGGAGAGTGGTCAGTTTGGATGAGCTATTACCAGCAGGAGAGTGAGTTTGTGTGTGTATGGGGGTGGGGGGGATGTGAGAAAACCTGGATTTGTGCAGGAAATAGCCCAACTTGATTATCATGCACATTGTGTAAAGACTTGTCACTTTGGATGGGCTATCACCAGCAGGAGAGTGAATTTGTGTGTGGGGGGTGGAGGGTGAGAAAACCTGGATTTGTGCTGGAAATGGCCCAACCTGATGATCACTTTAGATAAGCTATTACCAGCAGGACAGTGGGGTGGGAGGAGGTATTGTTTCATATTCTCTGTGTATATATAAAGTCTGCTGCAGTTTCCACGGTATGCATCCGATGAAGTGAGCTGTAGCTCACGAAAGCTCATGCTCAAATAAATTGGTTAGTCTCTAAGGTGCCACAAGTACTCCTTTTCTTTTTGCAAATACAGACTAACACGGCTGTTACTCTGACTCCAGAGTTAGGAATAGTTTGCATAGCTCATTCATGAGGAAAACGAGAATCTCATTTTCCACTAGTTCTCATTTTCATCCTTCCTTGTCTCCTGCTGGAAGTTATGCTGTCTGTCTTCGTAGGTCAACGTGCTCCAAGGTCGACCTCTAGATTTACCTGGACAAAGGCTTGATGAGAGAGGATAGCTACACCAGTACTTTATTCTAACAACATTTTTGTTTTTCTGTTAAACATGGATTGAAATGGTGGATAATTTTACTACATTAGGACTGAGTAGCTGCATCACAGAGAGGCATAGATCAGCATTCAAGTTGCACTCCCCGTCAATATCTGGCCTGGGGAACTAATGATCCAGCCAGCGGACCAAATTCAGTGATGAATCCTGGTCACGTGACACCTGAGGCACATTGCACATAGGCTAAGAAGAAGCTGCATCACAAGACAAACTAAACTTCTATGCAAGCTATGACTTTTCATTTAGAGTTGTTTTGTTTTTTGAAACACTGAAGTGGAACTATTTTAAGAAAGCCAAATCTATTCTCTTAAAAACAAATTTCCCTAGGAGCTTAGTTTTAGGCATTTGCGAACATGTATCACTGGGTTCTTTGACCAGTACAAATATGCGTAACACCTCAATTCTAAATATTACTTTTATACCAATATGTACTCAAACATTACACACTAATCTTTGTAACTATGCCATTACAAGTGGCATCAGAGCTCTAGCAGATATTTCACTTGAACATATGCCCCCTCTGAGCTCCAGAATTAATTTATGAGGAAGCCAAAGGCCTATCCAATAGCTGTGATTATTTGATTGATACTCTCATTCAGTGGAAAAGGTTGGTATGTTCTCTTGGTACAAATAGAATGGAAGAGCATTTCCTATTTGGTGGCAAAACTGGAAGAGATTTTATTAAGGTGACAGCAAGTGACTGCAAAAAGATGAAATACAAGAGAGATCAACCATTTTAAGAATTTGTTTTTGACTACCCTATTAATGGGAACTTCCTCAATACACTGATTAGTTTTATTAGTGCCTGGGCCATGCATAGATGTCAGTGAAACCTATTACTCAGTTTAAGTATTTTTTTTTAGTATCTCATTTAAAAGCTTGACAGATTCAGAGAGAAACTTCCAACCTTGCTAGCAACCATTCACGCTTTCATGAGGACTACAGTTGTGGCACCTGGCTTTGAGGTTCCCAACCGAACTGACAATTTGCTTATAGAAACAGTTTGTAGATCAGATATAGGGTTGTGTGTTTTGCATTATAACAATTTAATGATCAGGCAAAGCAGATTTTAAAATCATATTTTCATCCTCCCCTGACTATTTCAGCATCAGGGAATTTCCACATTCAGCAACAGTGGCACAAATAGAAATCGGTTATAAAAAAGTTTGTGGTCAAGAGTGGGGTTAGTGCTTTGCAAACTTAACATTATTTAATGACAACCAAAAATCACAAATACACTAACAACTGTATAGGCTTTAAGTTAAATGCTGATTTACCTCACCATAAAAGCCTATGTAATAATTTTCAGAAGAACAAACAGTGCTGTTTAATACCTTACAAAGAAGGCTCCTCATCTCCAATCATCTGTTTGATAACCAACATTTATCCACTACTTATTGTTGCTCTCCTTGTGCCTGAAGCTTCATGTCCTCAGTCTTTAGTTCATTTTCATCTTTGGAGTAGCTGGCCTCATTCTTGTAGCAAGGTGAAGGTGAATTGCTTTCAAAAAGCATCAGAAACTTCAGTGTTTTGACATGCCAACATTAGATTAAATTCATCATAGACATGACAGGCCTTTCCACCCATGATCACAGTTACCCTCAGACTATCATGCCAAACCTTCATTGCTTCCATCTTCTCTCAACACTGCTAGATGCTTCTTGATGTTGTGCACAGTCTATTGATTGCACACCAGGAGCAAAAGTGAATTCAGTCTGAACTTGATTCCCTCTTTCAGCAGTTGGCAAAGAAGATCCTCAGCTGCTTGGACCAAGGCACACATGATCAATCAATTAAGGCATTCACCATGGTTATAAATACTGGCACAGAACTTCCCACTTATTATAAAGAACAAGTTCTTACACTGTGCAGGTATCTGTGTTTTATGGATCCATAATTCTAATTTATGATACCCTGCACTACAGGACTACTAGTCTCAGGAAAAATGGAAGTTAGGAAAACTAGCTAAATAGATTGAGCTGACGTAGTTCAGGCTTTCCATCCATTCTAGGGAGAAAAGTATAAACTAATTTTAGCACCAATCTTTATCAATACCTTGACATTTGTAGTAAAGCTGACTTTGAAAAGCCTCTGCATGGAGAAAGACAATTCTCTCTGAAAGGAAGTCTGAATTAGATAAGTGTTTCCTCTCAATATCTCCCGTGTGGAGGGAGCAGCCCAGAGCTATTACGGACTAATTTTGAGCATTAGATTCATTAAGACTTCTAAAGCATCTTAATGCTGCAACTGTTGCAAGTACATTATTTGAGCACTTAGAGATAAAGCAGACTGGCTTGTCTTGTCCAAACTAACACTATAGTATAAGGGACACTATTAGGAACAATTATGAAAAAAAGTCAAGTTTTAAGAGGTGTAAACGTTAGAACACATAAAACACTCAATATTTCTCCATTCTGGAGAGTGACAATGGAAACATCCATTGGACATTACTCTGTAAAAGAAATCGTTCTTCTCCCTGCAAAAGGAGTCATTCTACTGGCTAAATATTACGACCAATTGGCTCAACGTTCCAGGGCGTTTTACAGTAAAGCTTTGTCTAAACTGGAACCTGAACGACAAAAGTTTTGTAGTTCAGAGGTCTGGAAAAAAAAAATCACCCTGAACTACAAAAGTTTTGCTGACGAAAAGTGCCAGTGTGAACAGCACTTTGTCAGCAGGAGCGCTCTCCTGCTGACAAAGCTACCGCTGCTCGTTAGGGGTGGAAGTTGTCGGCGGGAGAGCTCTCTCCTGCCGACAAACAGCAGCTACACTGTGCGCCTTTTAGTGGCACGGCTGTAGCAGCACAGCTATGTCACTAAAAGGTGCGTAGTGTAAACACAGCCTAAGTCTTAATCAATTAATCAAGCCTTCTGTATTTGAAAGAAGTGTTAATAAGAGTTGTGATTTTACAAAGTAACCAGTGATAATTATAGCCCTTCATTAAAAGAAGGCCTTCACACACAGAAAAGGAAAAATGCCAGAGTATGTTTTCTTCTGCAGATTAGTTGTCTTTAGACATGTTTTGTACAAGTGTCTGTTTTTCCTGTGTAAGTGCTTGCTTTGACACAGTGTATTCCTGTTGTATCTCAAAAAGAGATTAAGAAGTACAAAATGTGTGTATATTTCTGCCTGACTTCACTGAGCTGGCTTCAACTTTGTGGTGGTGTAAGGAAGGTGGACATGAAAAAACTGGATGAATCCATAATCAATGCTTGATCCAGCTGTTCTTAATCTGAATGTCTTTGGTAGAGGTTCCCTTTCTCTCCAGCTGCTAAATCATCTCTGTGGCAAATGAGACAGGAGCAAGTTTTGAAGAGATGGGGTTATCCCAAATTAAGGTATTTTCAAAGAGCTTCCTAGGGAAGGTTACCTACAAAGATACCCATCATGCCCCATTTTGAATAATATCATTTGAACACTCTTCTAGGATCTTGATACTGAATATAAACATTTCCAGCAAATACACTTAATGCAAGTTTACCTGGCAAGTGCTTTTGCTCCTTCCTGGACTAGGAAAATGAGAAAGCACATAGAAGGGGAAGAAAAAAAGATGCAGCGGGGCTGTGGGGGAACAAGTTTTCTGAAAGTGTCAATGTTAAAAACAAGAGTCCAGACCAATAATCTTCTAGATTAACATGTGCTCTGCCCACAAGAAACCACGCATCACTGCAAGTAATGAAAGCTCTTTGTAATCAGCATGACAGAAGGTTTTTTTTTTAAAATGAGAGTTTATATGGATTTTACTATATCCTCAAATACCCTGAATCTGTATGTTTTGATTGCTCCTATTTATCTATTAACTCCCATTTTACTAGCAATTTTGATTTTATAGAAGCTGTTCAAAATTTAACACAATAGATTTACAGTAGCTGTTTTAGGCTCTTTGTAAGGCATCATAAAGAGATTAAAAACAAATACAAACAAAATGTTAGAAAGCTATATTCTCAGTTCATTTAACATTTCATAACATTCAGGAGTACTTCACATACTTTAGAATAGAGTGCACACGTCACTATCTTCTATCCCAGAAAACATACTGGAGGAAGCAGAGGCACTAGTCTGTTTTTCCCCAATTTTTAAAATATGACACTGTCTTCTTATGCTTTTTTTGTGAAGCTGGGGTTTTTTTGCCTTACTTACTCACAACTTGAGGGACAGGGGAGAAGAAAAGTAATCTCCCGCCAGTTTTTTTTCTCCTTCTCCAGAGAAAGTATTCCTATCATCTCTTCTGGTCATTACCAAAGCTTCAACCTGCAACATTGCCTGGTGCATTTGTATTGTCTGTAGCTACATTAGATTTGACTTCTACAGGTATGGACATTGTTATGTCCAATACTACATTTATTTTATTCTTGTCAAGGACTCATATTGCTTATACAAAATACACGTTCAACACAACTGACCTTATACACCATACTAGCTCTCTTCTACCAACCATTGAACACAGCCAAACCCTCCACCACAATAAAAGTTTGTGAGCTATGCATATCGTTGTATCAAAGGGAAGATAAACCTCCTGAATCTCAAAACGCATTCATAGTACTATAAGTCTGAACTTTGACTTTTTACTTCTCAAATGTTCAAAGTTACAATTTAAACAGTACTTTCAAATTAAATAATTATAAGACAAAAGTGAGAAGATTTATGTTTAAAGCTGCTGATGTCTAACTTATGCCTTTGAAGTGTTTTTCTTCCCCAACAAGTTCAGGAGCATGTATTAATTATGAAATTTAGTTTTTACCAGCCCTTTTTTCCTAGAACTATGTAATCAATACCTAGGACACAGATAGAAAGCCTATTAGTTGTTAGGAATGAAGGAAAGCCTTACAGTTAAGGTATGCATTAGAGCAAATCTACATTTCATTCCAGCTTTCCCACAGACTTCTTGTGTGACCCTGGGCTAGTTACTTCATCTTTTTGTGCCTCGGATCTTCATCCATAAAGTTGTGGTAATTTTCCCTTCCTTTCAGCTGTGTTGTGAAGATAAATTTATTGATGTTTGTAAGATGTTTAATTATTACTATAGCGCAGGTCCTATAAGTATCAGACTGAAAACTGGAAGAAGCTGAACTGATTATTTCTGTGAATTGTTTTGGAAAAATGTGAGTCTTGTATGCAAAGTACCAGCTTAATTAATGAAAAAATGAAGCAAGTTGTCTGACAGATGTATAAAACCTTTGAAAATAGTGTTTGAAACAGAAACATTGACAACTACAACAGTAGTATTAGAAACTGTATTATAGCACAGACTTCATAAGACTACACATTTGAGTTTGTGGAGGAGTTAACATCAGGAAAGAAGTCCAACCCGCCCACCCCACCAAGGTGATTTTCTTCAGTTAAGTGGAACAACAAAAAGCTGATGAGTTGGATGACCCTGCAAGAGAGACATTTGACACCACTGTCAACATTAAAACATAGCCGGAGTGATTTATATTCCTATGTTAGGCCTTCCAGCAACTTTCAGCATCATCTTCATCCAAGAAGAGTTTGTTTCTCTTCAACATGCAAAAAATGGCAATGATTAATCTAGGCCTAAACCATGGAAACAACCATAATTTAAGATGAGATTTTTAAAAATGTTAGCATCACCTTCAATATAGCACAACTAAGCAATTTAAGAAGCAGATACAGCTTTCTCCTAGATATGCTCTTCTGGACAGATTCAAATTCACAGGTCCACTATTAGATACAGAAGTGAAGAACAGGAAAAGTTAAATGAAATGACATTGACACTAATCCACTATTCTGAATTAAACAAGAGAACTGACAATGACTAGAAGCAGCCAAAGGGACAAATGTATTGTGTTTAATGCTACTGATTCTAATCTGAAAAGAAAAAGTATGAAATGCTGAATGTAAGTTGCTAAGAATGCAGAGGTAAGCAGATCTTTGCTAACTGCACAGACAATTAAAATAAAGACTAGAGAACATCTCAGGTCCATTCATCTTGAACTTGCCATATAGTGCTTAAATAGTGTGCCAAACCTTACTGAGAAAGCAAAATACCTAACAGTCCTAAGACATATTGCATAATTTCAAAAATTCTTCCATAGCCACAATCAACTTCACAGTTGGTTGTATTAGGGCTTGTTCACATGGAGACATTGACCACAATACATATTACAAAATAAGCTATGCCACACCAGCTCCCCATTTGGGCACTATTCCCAAATAAAAATCACTTTTATTTCAGAATAAATTACTCCAGTTTGGAAGCATCCTAATTATTCCACAATAAAGTGATTTTATTCTGGTCAATTTCTCCATGTAGATAAATTCATCTTCCCAGAGACAGACTGTACTCTGAGGAAGTCTACATCCAACTGATGAAATCTGCACTGAGCCAGAGGACTTTGATCAAAACACCACATTACATGCAAAGATTCTAAAAGGACACACTAAGTTTACAAAAGCAACTGAAGGAGTTTCAGATCAGAGGCTAGTGACACTGACAGTCTCAATGGAAATTTAGCTTGATCTAATGAACAAACTAGAACCATACAATACACACACTAGTTTCAGAGGGGTAGCCGTGTTAGTCTGTATCAGCAAAAACAATGAGTCCTTGTGGCACCTTAGAGACTAACAAATTTATTTCGGCATAAGCTTTCGTGGGCTTTAACCCACTTCATCAGATGCATGGAGTGAAAAAAAGTAGGCAGGTATAAATATATAGCATATGAAAAGATAGGAGTTGCCCTACCAAGTGGGGGGGGGTCAGTGCTAATGAAGCCAATTCAATTAGGGTGGATGTGGCCCATTCCCAACAGTTGACAAGAAGGGGTGAGTATCAGAGGGAAAATTATTTTTTGTCATGACCCAGCCACTCCCAGTCTTTATTCAGGCCTAATTTGATGGTGCCAAGTTTGCAAATTAATTCTGGTTCTGCAGTTTCTCGTTGAAGTCTGTTTTTGAAGTCTTTTTGTTGAACAATGGCCACTTTTAAGTCGGTTATTGAGTGTCCAGAGAGATTGAAGTGCTCCCCTAATGGTTTTTGAATGTCACAACTCTTGATGTCAGACTTGTGTCCATTTATTCTTTTGCATAGAATCTTTTCATGTGCTGTATATTTATACCTGCCTCCTTTTTTTCCCACTCCATGCATCTGATGAAGTGGGTTCTAGCCCACGAAAGCTTATGCCCAAATAAATTTGTCAGTCTCTAAGGTGCCACAAGAACTCCTGGTTGTTTTCACACACATACACACACACAAAGAATTTTCCCATTATTTGGCCAGGATGGCTCCTTCTGCAGCAAGAGCAAGGCCCTTGTACACATTTAAGTGGAATGCATCAAGCTGCAGCCCTTTTTCTGGCTCCTCCAGGGCCTCCTGCTGAGGATCAGGCTGTATTCCCTCCACCCCATTCTTCTCATATTTGCACGCCCCATCTGTAGGCCCCATAAAGTTGCAAGACTTCCTCCTGGCACCAGCCATGATTGCTATCTGCCAGACATGGAGAAGGAAGCTCAACAGGGGTGCTCTGACTGCAGAGCCTGTTTTTGCTCCCTTGTTGCTTCAGGTCTCTAGGCAGAGTTCCTCTGGGCAGCATCCACCGACTCCTTTGAAGAGCTCTGGGACTGTCCAGGGTTCTTTGCTCAGTGTCTCCATCCAGAACCCCAAGGCTATTGGTTGAACCCAGAAAAGAAAGCTGAAAAGCAGCTAACAGAACATGAGTTCATTCTCTTTGACTTTTAAACACTAAGAAATCCAGATTTGTACCCAAATCTGTTTACAAAGGAGCATATTGTATCAAAACGGTGGGAAAAATGTGGAACTAACCACAGCCAGGGTTGTTAATCCACTGTTGTCTGTTTTTAAGAGATCTGCATTCTCATTTAGACAGTTCAAAATGTTTTTAAGCTCATTTGGACTGGTTTGGTCTAAGTTTCATAACAGAGTACATGCTGAAAAACTAAGTAGGTTGGTTTCTAAAAGCAGACACAAGAGTGTTATTAACAGTAGTATCTAGCTCTTATATAATGCTTTTCATCAGTAGACGTCAAAGCACATTACAAATGAGGTAAGTATTATTACCCCAATTTTACAAGTAGGAAACGGAGGCACTATTACTTGCATGGTAGTAGCACCTAGGAGCCCCTGTTACAGACCAAGAGCCCAGTGCTATACATCATGCATAACTGAAAGGTGTTTCCTGCCCTGATTAGGCTTATCTAGTCAACAGACTGAGAATTCAGTTGCACTCTACCAACAGAAATAGAAGCACATCATTGTGGATGATGTATGCATTTTTATGTTTTAAAAATAAATACATTTTATAAAGCAAACAACACACTATGGACTTTGAATTTCATTTAATAAAATCTGTTTTTTTTTCTTCCCTGTTGGAGAAGAGCCATTACCATCTTGTTAGCCACCAACCATTGCCATAAAGGTACATAAAAACACTACACATTAGTAGTGCATTAAGGAAATATCTAAAGCGGACTATTAACTCAGCAGTTGCGCTATTTATTGTTCAGGTCCTGTGGAAAGGCATAAGATTTAAACTGCGAAAGTTGATTGAATTTGTGAGTAACTTAGAAACAACACACAAGACACTTTTCAAAGATCAGTGACCTGAGTTCATCAGACTGAAGTACCACCCAGTGTAGCATCAGCCGGTGATGAGGTTTTATTTCTCTATTCGCCTATTATGCAGAAGGCAATATTTTCACACTGGCATTTTTTTTTTAAGTTAGCTTGTAAACTCTTCAGAGCAGGGACTGGGTCTGTGTTTGCACAACAGAGTCCGATGCCGACTGAAAGCTCTGGGCACCATGGCGTTAATACCGGCACCACAGGAGCAGTCATCAGAAAATCAAGCAGCATGGCGTGGTGACAAGAAAAAAACAGCGTTATTAGGAGCACTCAAAATTAGCGACCAATTAAGCCCCAGTTTCTTCATTTCCTAGCGCAGGAGCCGGACACATTTCCTAGCCCCTGAGCGAGGAGGCAGATCGATCCCACCCTGTGGGTTTAGCGGTGGGGTGGGCACAGGGCAGCAGCCCTGCCTCGCCCTGGGGAAGCTGCGGCGGCTCCCGCATGGCTCGGGGTGCCTTTCCCCCCGCCCAGCCCCTCTCCCCGGGTGACTCACCTCTCGCTCCCCGGTGCGTTCGGTTCCAGCGCCGAGGCGGGGCCAACTCGGAGGGGGGCGGGGGAGGCAGCCCCGCACCGGGGGAGGCGGCGGCCACGACCGGGAGCCGAGGGGGGGGGACAAACAACTCGGCCCCCCGCCCCCAGCCCTGAAGCTCCCCCGCCCGGAGCCTCCGCCTCCCCGACGGGCAGCGCCCAGCGGGACCCGCACCCCCGCCGCCCCTTCAAGCCACCAAAGCCCGTCCTCGGGTCTCCGGGGCCCGGTGCGCCCTCAGAGCAGCGGACAGCGAGCCGCCGGCCCCAGCGCTTCCCCGGGCTCGCTGAGCCCCTCGGAGAGCCGCTTCCCCTCACAGGGAATAACAGGAAGGGAGCGGGGGTGACCCCGGGCGCGCACGGACTCACCGGAAGTGATTAGAAAGAGGGGGGGAGGGGAGGAGCGAGCGAGACAGGGACGTTCAGTGCGCATGCGCGGAAGGGGCAGGGGGCTGGTGCTGCGGGTCTTCTCCCCCCCCCCCCTCCCGCTGGTCTCCAGTCAAGGGGCGGGCACGCACCTGGAGGATACAAAACACTCCCCTTGCATTGACTTGGTGCCCGCGTCTTCTTTGTCTAAATCAGTGGCTCTCAAACATATTTACTAGCGACCCCTTTCACATAACAAGCCTCTGAGTGCGACACCCCGCCCCTTATAAATTAAAAAAAAAACACTTTTTTACATATTTAACACCATTACAAATGCGGGCGGCAAAGTGAGATTTGGGGTGGAGGTTGACAGCTCACGACCCCCCTGTGTAATAACCTTGCGACTCCCTGAGGGGTCCCGATCCCCAGTTTGAGAATCCTGGTCTAAATCCTGGCGGGAGGGCATCAACACGGTACACAAAGTAAAAAATACAGTCAGGCCTCACTGCATCATCAGTCCTCCCAGTGATCTCATAGCCTGATGATACCATGGTCAGCAAAGGAAATGGGATTTGCTCACATGGCTGTGCTGTAGATGGACATCATAGCTGGGAGGGGCTTCGCCCCTGCTGACTCTGTCATAGTGAATGCCACATTTGTATGCATTTGCCACATGATAAACTGATTGATCTGACAGGTCTTTTTAGCCTCTGATCTATGTGATAGAATCTTCACTATCTCTGAGATGTATAGTCCTGGCCACTTCAAAGTAGTGGTGACCTCATCACCATTTGCTATCTTACCTGAAGCAAATACTCACCAGCAACCATACACCACACAAGAAAAACCTATCCTTGCAACAAAACCCGTTGCCAACTCTGTCCACATATCTATTCAAGGGACACCATTATAGGACCTAATCACATCAGCCACACCATAAGAGGCTCATTCACCTGCACATCTACTAATGTGATACATGCCATCATGTGCCAACAATGCCCCTCTGCCATGTACATTGGCCAAACCGGACAATCTCAACGCAAAAGAATAAATGGACACAAATCAGACATCAAGAATTATAACATTTCCAAAACCAGTCGGAGAACAGTTTAGCCTCCCTGGTCACTCAATTTCAGACCTAAAAGTTGCAATACTCCAACAAAAAAACTTCAAAAACAGACTCCAATGAGAAACTGCAGAATTGGAATTAATTTGCAAACTGGACACCATTAAATTAGGCTTGAATAAAGACTGGGAGTGCATGGGTCATTACACAAAGTAAAAACTATGCTAATTTCCCCCCTACTGTTACTCACACCTTCTTGTCAACTGTTTGAAATGGGTCATCCTGATTATTACTACAAAAGTTTTTTTTTCCCTCCTGCTGATAATAGCCCACCTTAATTGATTGGTCTCATTACAGTTGGTACGGCAACACCCATTTTTTAATGTTCTCTGTGTACACATATCTTCCTACTGTATTTTCCACTGCATGCATCCGATGAAGTGGGTTTTAGCCCACGAAAGCTTATGCCCAAATAAATTTGTTCGTCTCTAAGGTGCCATAAGTACTCTTCATTTTTTTTGCTGATACAGACTAACATGGCTACCACTGTGAAACCTGTCATTTGCTATCTTGTTCATTTATAAAACGTTTGTGGTAAAATCACAAGGTCCTCACTGCTTAAAAGTCATCTCTCTCTCTTTAGTAATTTATAACATTTCACTTGTATTTTGCGTTTTGATTTATTAACTAACAAAAACTGTGTGTACTTTGCTAAGAATGTTGTCAACCCAAGTATCTTTTCTGCACTTGGAAAGAAATACTTTGAAATTGTTTTGATATTTTGAAGTTTCTTCTTCTTTTGTGGTTCTGATTGCTTGCTGCCATCTAGTGCGATCATGTGTGGAAGTATAACATTGTATAAGTATAATGTTGTATAAGGGGACATGCTGGATACATTGTATATGAGAGGGCATGCCAAAACATGTTACAAAGTATCTGAGGGAGCACACGTAGGGACAGTTAACTTTTGAATGGAGAAGCAATTAAGATAGAGCCAGCACGTCTAAGAAACAGGCATCAGAACGGAAGGTGTGAAGGGCAATTAGTTAACTGGAAGCTGTTAAAGGAGATTGTTAAGGGTGGCAGGTAATTGAAGATACGTCTTCAGGTCTCAGGGATCTCGAAGGGTGGTGACTAAAATCTTTTTCTTCTTTTGTCTGTAACTTCTCTGTAACTTGTTCTCCAAAAAACTGTATAAATTAAAAGACACAAGCCCCACTCGGGGGGCTCACTTCTAAATGTATTAGCAGAGCAGCTTTGCTAATAAAACAGAGTGGTCTGATAAATTGTGAGTCTGAGTCAAACTTTGACAATTTGGAGATTCCACCGAGATGGCAAGCGGCTTCACTGAGGCTGTGTGATCCCTGATTGCCTTGCATTACGATCGTGGCAGCCGGCGCCTGGACGCTTAGTCCAAGCGATCCTCCATAAGACAGAAAGGTACACAGCAGCAGCGCAGTCTACGCCATTGAACTTGTTGGTTCCCACTCTGTTCAGGTAGGGGTCTTTGGATCCAGCTTCTGGAATCAGACGTCTCAGGTAATTATTATTTTTGTGCTTTAACCGGTTTGAGGACTGTCTTGTCTTTGTGTCTATCCGTCTTCCCTGTGGTGTGTGTGTGAATCTGGGAGCCATCTCTGTCCGGAGACTGGCTGACCTCTGGCTGACCTCTGTCCGGAGACTGGCTGTCCCCGTCCCCACGGTCTGAATAAGTGGAATCTGCACAGCTGCAGCCGCACCATGCCTTGGGTATAACCCCTGGTGTGAAAGCAAGGGCAGTTGAGGCAGTAGCCTGTGGGCTCCTTTCTGTGTGTTGCACCGGGTACCGCTCTGCTGAGCCCGAATTTCCTTCTTGTGTGAGTGCTGTGTGAAGTCCTCCTGGATGGGTAATCAGAAGTCTAAGGTAGAACAGTTCCCTAAGGGAACTCCAGCTTATTTTATGTATTTTAGGAGGGGTCCGGACTCTTGTAGGTTTCTTGAAAAATGGTCGAAATTAGCTCTAGAGAACCCCAAATTACAGTGGCCACTGTTAGGTTCTTGGGACAAGGATCGAGTGGATGCTTTAAAAAGCAAACTCATCCTCCCAAAAACCAAATTGGAGAGAGGAGAAGTAGACTGCTTCATGCAGTGGTGGGAAGAGGCAAATCGTAGATGGACTGAGTCAAAACTCACCTCTCTTAAAAATTCTATCAAAAAACTAACAGTTCAATTGGATGCAGTCTCTCCCACCACTAGTCCAAGCGCTCCCCTTTGCCCAGTCCTGTGCAATGATCCGGATCAAACCCGACCCCCACCATACTCCTGCGCAAATAAGAAATCAGAAAAGGAAAAATCTTCAGTGACTACAGATAATGAAAGTGAAGAAGATACCCTCATTGGCCTCGCAGCTCTGCAAAATATTATGAAGAAGAAATCCAAAGCAGACTGCAAAGATTCTCTTGACATCTCTTCTTGGAAAAGAGAACCTGATGGGAGGTTAATGAGAGACTCTGATCAAACTGTTGTGGCACCCTTACGAGTCCTTAAGATGGGAGAAAGTGAGTCCATATGGAATTATAAGTCCTGGACTCGTACGGAACTTTTATCTATATTTAAAAGTTTTCCCAAACCACAGGAAAACTCTGTCAAATTTGCTGAGGAGTTTCTGTTAATCTGTGAAACCTATGAATCCTCTGAGACAGATCTCCTCCAACTGTGTAAATTGTTAGCTCCTGCCAGTTATTATGAAAAATGGTTGGCTGCCGCAGACTGGCCAGCTGAGATTGAAAAGAGATTGAAACCAAAGATTCAATCTCTTGCTCCCCCTACAGCCTCCCTGAGAAAAACCGCCTGCCGACTAGTGAGTCAAGAGTTGAAACCAAAATAATTCTTGCTCCCCAGCCTCCCTGAGAAAAACAGCACCTTCTACAAATGTCATGTGAATGCTACCTCTTCTCCCAGCGAAAATCATCCTGTGCCCTTTGGGGGATACTATTCCTCCTTCGTAAATTCTTACATGTCAAAGGGTTGCAGTCAACCCTTCCCAGCTTTAATGGGACATCATTGGGTTTGTGGGGAAAATGCTTACACTGCGTTACCAGCAAATTGGTCAGGTATCTGTTATCCTGCTCAGCTTTTCCCACAATTCCGGGTGCTTCAATCCCTCCCACGAAATCGCCTCCATAATTTCAGGTGAAAAAGGAGGGACTTGCCAGATGCTAAATGGTATGTGGATAACATAAGCCCCCTAACTTGGGAAGAAGCTGTTGGCATTTCTTTAGTCCCAGTAGGGGGGGTAATCCACCATGCAAAAAGGCTTTTAAGGTTACAAGCGGTGGTTGAGATCATGGCCAATGAAACAGGAGAGAGCTTAAAAGCTCTAGCCAAAGAAGCAGGAGCGGTCTGACAAGTGGCCCTCCAAAACCGTCGGGCATTAGATATAATACTGGCAGCCAAAGGAGGGACCTGTGCTCTAATTGGAACAGAATGCTGTGTATACATACCTGATAATACTAATGAGGTAATAAATCGTGCTAGCCATCTGGAGCAAATTGCATACCTTCCCCACGAAGAACCAAGTTCCTTGTGGAAATGGATAAGTAACTTATTCAATTTCTCTAGTCTGGGAACTGGTTGTTTCAAGGAATCCTGACTATCCTATTTGGAATTCTAATAATCTTTGTGTGTTTTCAATTGATTTCTTGTTGTATCCAAAACTGCACAAGACACACCATCCATCAGGTTACCCCTAACCAGAGTGCTAATCTAATGTTGTTAAATGTCACCAGTGAAAGTAATGAAAAAGAACGATTGATATATGGAATCCAGTAAGTCATTGGTCATGGGCGTAGCCTTGACCAAAAGGGGGGATTGTGGAAGTATAACATTGTATAAGTATAACGTTGTATAAGGGGACATGCTGGATACATTGTATATGAG